TTTATATGATCAATGCAGGCACTATGCAATACACCCCAGTTAATTATAAATAGTGTTTACTTAATATATTTGTGATTAGATAGTCAGTCTATGGTAGGGTTAACTTTTAAGATTTTATTTTGCTTCTTACCTTTAATGGTTTTCGTATGATATACATATGTTGTTCGTGATATATTAAATACTTTAATATATCATATTATGTATAAGGACAACATTGAAACAAATATAATGGTGTATGTACACAATTTTGATAGCATTAGTCGGTTGATGCTCTTAATTATTAAAGTCAACTTACCTCCTAAATCATTAGTAGGAAAGGCATCAAATGTGCCTTTTTGTACGAACAGTTGGGTCCTGGATTTAATGATGTATCTTATTATTTTCCATTTTATTTTTTATTTCTCGGTGCTTTTGTCTTTTTTTTCACAATTTAGAGATTTGTAGATTTGTTGTTGTTATTACTTCTTTTTAATCCTCTTATTCGAGGAATTAATTGTTTAATAAAAGTTACAAATATAGGAAAGCGTATTTTTCTGCAGTTTAGACCTAGCCCAGATCATATTAACGCCTAAATCGGGAATCGAAACACGACAGCGCAGCGTGTAAGCTCGAAAATTTAACCACTCTGCCAAATAAGTAAGTAATGCCGTCTATTTCCATAACAAATATAACTTTGCCCGGCTTTTTTGAATTTCACATCCACTCTGTGACCAAAGAGCATTGGTGGCAATGTGGCAGAGTGGTTAACGCGTTGAGCATACACGTCGTATCGTTTTGTTTTCCTTCCACCTGGGGTTGTTGATTAAACCAAAAAGAGGTCAAAATTGCAGTCCACTTCAGCCGGGATGAGAACAACTTTTGGGAAAGCAGGGCTATGTGAAACTCAATGGAAACAGCAGTTCTACTCATATAATTGTGGGGCAATTCAACTATCAGTCCTCCATCAACTTAAATAAAATAGGGTGGATATATCTCAAGTAGGAAAGTCTGTTTTTTCAAATGTGTATCTATCATTTGTTTTCTAATGCAAATGCTATTTTATTTTATTCGAAGAAAACAGGATTCAAATAATAACTGACCCATATTCGCTTATTTAATATAATTTAATAATCAATTACTAGTGAGATAAATGTATTTGATTTTCTTATGTACTTTAACTTACATACGAAAAATACTTTTATTGAATATTGTTTTTAAACTTTAAGTTTTTTTTATGAGATTTCCAAGTGTTTCTTATTGACTCATACCATTCATATGATACTCATTTTTTATAAGTTTTATTTATAATATATTAGAGCTTACATTTTTTATTTAAATTAGAAGAAAATTATTTTTTCCTATGCCTTCATTATACAGTTTAGCAGGATGAGCTTCTAGTGTGATAATTATTTAAATAATTTTTATTTAAATAATGTCTCACATTTTTATTATGTTGTTTATAATAGATAAATGAACTAATGGGAATATTTATAAAGAGTCTAGGTTTTTTATTTGCATTGCTTTGTTTGGCTAATTGAAATTTTCTATTTGGTTAAACAATTATATTTTTCACTTATAATGTTATGGGTTATTTATAAGTTAGGCATATTTCCTATTTGTGCCACACTTGTATTTAAGTGTTAAACTCCCTTCCATTTTATGGGAAAGTGTTTGATGAAGAAATTAACTTTGGTAAATCATACAAGAAGTTTGTTCATGATTCTCCTAGCTTATATTTAGCTATGGTATGTTTCAAACTACCATAAGATTTGAAATAAAATCTGAATTCACCCCAAATCGGATAAGATGGTGATGAAATGTTGATCGAATTTTCTCACAATTATGTAAATATACCTCAAAATGCCACTGAATGTCACTTTGCCCCAATAGGAGGCAATTATCCATCCTTTATCATCTTATACGAGCCAGTTTTTCTTTTCATTGACTTTACTAGAACCTTTTATTTGACGCAGTACCTGCAAAAACCTCCATAGTTTCATGTAAAAACAAACCTAAGCTTCGTCTCTCATATCAGTCTATGAGTATCTTCGCTTATTTCAATTTTAAAATGATTAAGTCATTTTATATAATGCGTCAATCTAACAACATGTATTCAAGAATGTCTGCAAATATGTCATCATATTTGTATTAATTATCGTGCATACATAGGCACAAAAGCAACACTGATAACTTCCTGATACTCTGCATATCCTTAGGTACAGATAAACGCGCATACACATACAAATATGTATGGATTGATAGAAGAATGCGATGAACTAACCAAATTATTTTCTACCTCATGAAGCTTTAATGGTTCAGAAAATATATTTTTAATATGTGGCGTGGACTCTTGGCTGACCTGCATAACTCGTTGAAAACCGGCCTCGTACGAGGCAAATGCGGCATTCTGGAAGACGTTATGTATGTTGGTGTAGAGCTGTTTGTACTCAGCCACCACGGACGACCCTAGACGTTGATCTAAGATAGAATCATCGAGGATGCCATACCTGAAAGTGATAAATGACAATAGCATAAATGGTTTCAACAGCGCGCTAAAGCTAACCGAATGAGATAACCTGACCCCAAATCAAGTACCGGATCCGGATTGGAGGCCCGAGTGGTATAAGCCTATCGAAAGAGTGGGGTGGGGGTAAATACCAAGTGTGAAGAGGCCACACCCGGTTTGCCACAAAAGGGCACACATGTTGATGATTGGAATGTAAACAAGTGAGAAGTTGTGATAGGGCGGCAGTGGGATAAGAGGGTAAAGAGTAG